TATTATATTTATATACACAGCAGCCCAATTATAACAAGAGCTCAAGATGGCACATGACTTACAAATCTAAAACTCATTTGCAATCATTTTACAATATGAATAGAGAAGCCAGCCCACAGTAGCTCACACTTGTAATCCCAGCACTTTGGGAAACTGACGTGGGCAGATTACTTGAGCCAAGGAGTTTGAGAACAGCCTGGGAAACATAGCAAAACCCCATCTTTACAAAAAATACAAAATTAGATAGGCATGGTGGTGGGCCTGTGGTCCCAGCTGCTCAGGAGGCTGAGGTGGGAGGATCACTTGAGCCTCAGAGGTTGAGGCTAGAGTAAGCAGTGATAGCAAAACTGCACTCCAGCCTGGGCAACAGAACAAGAGCATGTCTCAAACAAAAACAAACCTCTCTCTCTCTCTCTCTCTCTCTCTCTCTCTCTCTCTCTCTCTCTCTCTCTCTCTGTGTGTGTGTGTGTGTGTGTGTGTGTGTATGATAAAGAGAAAAATTGTCTATATATTGGCCCACATTAGTCATTTTTACTGGATACACACAATGACAAAATGGCATATCAATGAAAACAATCTGGAGGGGAAAAAAGTAAACTTTGTAATACCAATAGAAGAATTTTGGGATCTAGATAGAGGGGTGGATGGAGTGGGGCTGTATAAATTGACTTAACCACATTCTTAATCTTGCAGTTGAGATGATAATATTATCCAGAGAAGTGCCATTCATTCATATTGAGTAATTCATTATATGTAAACCACACAACCCAATGTCTAGCATGTGGGCTTGGTGTTTTGCTTCAGCTGTTCATGTGGGTCATTCACCTAGGATATTCCTCAAGGAAAACTTCATAATAAAATCAGTCATTCTTGTGTGCTTTGGATACTAGCATATGACCATATTTATCACTAGTGGAATTCACTTTGGATCTATGTTAGGGATTTCTATGTGAAACACAACACCAATTGCCACATGTATCCACTCCTCCATGCCCACCCTAATGAAATCTCACCTATCTGCAAGACTCATCTTGAACACCACCTTTTCCATTAAATCTTTCCTGGTCTTTCCTACAAGCAGGTATATTTTCTTGCTGTCTTGAGCATCTTAAAAACTTTGACTTTTACCCCTCTGATGATACTGACCTTGTTCTGCCTGCTTTGTTACTGTCTCTTTGTCTTATCCCCTATTAGAATTTAAGACTCTTGAAACTCAGGACAGACTTTATCTTTGCATTTCTTACAGGCTGAGCACAGGGTGTTGAACCTAAGAGCTCAATAAAAATGTGTTGAGCTGCAGTGCATCGTGACCCACCCTGACTACCAGGCCCTCAGCCAGCTTCAGAGTGCAGGACACAATAGGTCCTTGTATTCACTGCTGTGCGCACCCACAAACATACACTAAGCACCTGGAAACAAGGGGACACTTAGTTACTTGGCAAATACTCGCCCTCCCAGGGTGTCTTCGCTTTTGAAGAGGCGCCTTTGACAGCTGGCCTGCTTCTGGTTCGATGGGGCACTCCCTGGAATGGCCCATCACTGCAGCAAATGGCCAAATTCACCGTGCCAGGAACCAAGAGAAGAGAAGGGTCCAAATATGAGAGTCTCAACGCCAAGAATGTGCTCCAGACTTATAAATGAGAGGGAAGCAGGGAGCATTGTAATGAGGGAAATGATGCTAAATTTGCACTAAAGCCTCCTCTTTCTCCCTTCCTCTTTTCCATCTGGTCCCTTTCTTCTCGCTCCCTGCTCCCAATCTCCCATTGTCACTTGGTCCTGCAGAGCTGGAATTCAAGCCTAATCCTTAGGGAGGGGCCTCCCCTCCAGGGAGGTCAGGGCCATCGCCTACTTCCTCTGTGGGATGCGCTCACAAGATGCTGTGGCAGCAATGTTGGCTGCTCTTTATTAAATACAAATTGTACTGACCAGTTTCCAGGAACTTCAGTGGAAAGTTGATTCCCCCAAACTCTTAAGATATTTCCCAGATCCTGAAAGGATTATTACTACCATTGGTATTATTTACAAAGCCCACATCGTTTTTTAAAATATTTTCTTTAAAAAGCAAGATAGAGCATGCATAAGCATGCATCTTCCAGAATGCATCCTTAAATTCTGCTTCCTTCACAAGAATGAAATAACCTGTTGGATTCTGGTTGGGCAGCAAGACAGAAAGGAACAGGCTTCTCCTTGAAGTACAAAACTGGCAAAGTTTCCAGATTTAGCAAGTAAAAATACAGGACACCCATTTGAATTTGAATTTCAGATAAACAATGCATAAGCTTCTAGGATAAGTACATCCCATGCAATATATGGGACATACATAGCCTAGAAGATTATGCGTTGTTTATCTGAAATTCAAATTTAACTGGTCATCTTTTATTTTGTCAGGAAAACCTAAGCCCAGGGGAAGTCAGGACAGTAAAGAGATTTCTATCAACAAAAGCTCCTTTTAAAGCCCTAGCTGAATGGCTTTGGACGACATTTCAACTCAGGCCCTGCACTTTCCCCGGAGTGTGAGCTCAATGTCATAGAAAAACAATTGGGAGAATGAACATTCAGTGAACATTCTGCCCCTTCCTTGCCCTCAGCAGCCTGTGGCAAACTGCTTCCCCTTAACCAGCTGGGGAAGAAAAAAGCTTTCTCTTTTAAGATGGCTTTCCCCCCTCCCCTTTTACAGATTGGATTGTTTCTTGGATTTGCTGGAGAGCTGCTTTTGCTAATTGCTTGCAGACTTCAGTCCAACCTGCCCTGCCAATTGTGGAGGCGGTGCGGTGGGGCTGAGTGATAAAGAGTAAGGGGTTTGGAAGCAGGCAGACCTGATTTAGAACTCCAGCTCTGCCACTTCCTCCTGTGGAACATCAGGCAGGTTGCTTAACCTCTCTGGGCCTCCATTTCTGCATCAGTAAAATGAGGATGCTCCCAGGTGAGGTGAGAGTAACATGCGATTGGAGCAGGCACAGCACTTGTCCAATGATGTCACAGACCCATCATGGGTACTCCTTTAATTAATATTGTCTTTGGTATGTCACACATCACAGGTGCCACCCGGAATTGAGTCTACTTGAGCCTGAGACTTGGAAATGGAGGAACAGTTGTTCAAGAAGGCTGCCAAGCACTTGTAGATGGGAACGGATGCCTTGGTTGAAAGATGGCTCCCCTGCTTTCACTAGGGGCCCTGCCCCATTCAGACTTACACTAGGCTGGCAGACTAGCCACCTCAAAGCCAACGGTCAGATCACAAAATGAACTTAAACTAGGTCACCACAAAAATTTGTTAGGAGTCAGAAGTCCACTTTAAGAAGTGGAAGTAAGAAGCTGGTCATGGTGCCATGCCTGTAGTTCTAGCTACTTGGGAGGCTGAAGTGGGAGGATCCCTTGAGCCCAAAAGTTGAAGTTCAGCCTGGGAAGCATAGTGATACCCTGTTTTTAAAAAAAGAAACAAAAGTAGAAGAGGGAGAAGTAGAGAGAAGGAGATGGAGAGAGAAAAAGATAACTCCTTGGCTTTATTGTTGAAAATCACCTTTCTGTCTATATGGGTGTGGGTATAGTGGCCATGTGTCTGGATCTTGTCACCATTCTTCTGGTCATTGTTCTGGTCCTATTCCCTCAGCTCCTTTGGAGGGTGGTTCAGATTCAGTTGTAACCCATGTGACCCAGGCCTAAGCCAATCAGCTCATCAGATCCCCTGTCCCAGCCAAGAGATGAGTGTTGAATTGGGCACCTGACTCAAGAGGAGCTAAATAATTGCAAAGAAAGCTAGTCCTAGGCCTTGCCTGATGTTTAAAAGAAGAATGAACTTTCCCCTCCTAAACTCTGAAACTGCAAGTAAGAGAAGGTCTTAGAACCACCACAGACATCACAACCACAAATGCAGAGTCATTTTAAGAATTAGAATAGAAGGAACCCAGCCATCTGAGACAGACAGACGGACGGACACACACACACACACACACACACACACACACACAGAGAGAGAGAGAGAGAGAAATCCTGTGACATCTTTTGAGTTCCTGTACCCATCCCTGAACTATTCAATGGCAGGCCCAAATACATCCAATTTTTTTGTTGAATTCTGTTTGAGGCAGGCTATCTGTTACTTGCCGACACAGATACGGCATGTCTCCCTGGCTCCTAGTTTATTTCTGTCTGCTTAGTGTTTGATCTTGGAATCTATTTGTAGCTACTGGTACTCTTTGGGCTCATCTTAACTTGCTTATTTACCAGCGGTCTGGGGTTTCAGCCTTAATTAAGCCCCTTCCAGCCCTACACTCCTGTTCCCAAAAGTCAAATTAGGATGACAGGAAGGGAGAAATGGTTATTGGCTGGTTACTGTACAAGAAAGTGCCTGGCACTGTGCTGAGAAATTTATTCCACTAAATCCTCCAGAAACCCATTTTACAGATGAAGTGACTGAGGCCCAGAAAGTGTAAGTTCCTAAGGACTGCCATAACCAAATACCACACACTGGTGCCATAAACGACAGAAATATATTTGCTCACTGTTCTGGATGCTAGAATTTCAAGAAAAGATGTCAGCAGGGTATTTCTTCTGAGGCCTCTCTCTTGGACTTGCAGATGGCCTCCTTCCTGCTGCGCCCTCACATGGGTTTTTCCTCTGTGCACACACATCTATATTCTAATCTCCTCCTTTTATAAGGAGATCGGTAATATTGAATTAGAGGCCTAACCCAATGACCTCATTTAACCTTAACTGGCTCTTTAAAGCCTTATCTCAAAATACAGTTACTTTCTGAGGTACTGAGTGCCAGGACTTCAACATATGAATTTGGGTGGGGGAAGGTGGGGACAAAGCTCAACCCTATTTTAAAAAAATACTGTATGATTACAAAGGAAGGAGAAATTGCAGTGAGTGAGGGTGGGGTGAGAAGTTAGAAGAGGGAATAAAGGGAAGGGATATGGAATCAGGAAAGGCTTCAGAAAGAAGATGTTTCCACGTAAGACTCAAACTGCCTGAGTGTAAATCCTGGCCTGACCACCTACTGGATATATTGGTAGCCAACTGGCTATATTTAACCTCAAATTCCTCATCTTTAATTAACAATTGTATGAATCATTAATTGATACTAATAATTGTATGAATCTCATAGACTTCTTGTGAGGAATCAGTGGGATAATCCCATGAGTATTAGAATAGCACTGACATATAACAGCTCAATAAATGTTAGCTATTATTACCTAAGATGTCTCAAATAATGGGGTGGAGTTATATAAATAAAAGAAAATATTTGTGGCTGAGATAGGTAAATAAAGAAATGCTGAGACTGACCTTATATGTGTGGTTGATGAATTTGGGCTTAGTTTTATAGGCAGTAGAGTTGAGCAGGGGCTGTAACATTATTACCAGTAGACATACAATTTGGAAAGCTTGCACTCACCAAGATGTGTGTGATGGATTGGAGGGGGTAGAAGTCACGGGGCTCAGCAGGAGGCCTTTAGGAAAGAATAGCTGAGAAGTAATGAGAGCATGAAGCAGAGGGAGTGACTCGGGTGGATGAGGGCAAGGAGAGAAAGAAGAAACCATGGAGATCAAATAGACAAGCTTGGCCACCAATTGGATATCATGGGTCAGGAGAAAGAAAGGCAAAGTTTCAGAACTAAAAAAAAATACTTGGCTCATGCCTGTAATCTCAGCACTTTGGGAGGCCAAGGCGGGTAGATCACGAGGTCAAGAGATCGAGACCATCCTGGTCAACATGGTGAAACCCCGTCCCTACTAAAAATACAAAATATTAGCTGGGCATGGTGGTGCGTGCCTGTAATCCCAGCTACTCAGGAGGCTGAGGCAGGAGAATTGCCTGAACCCAGGAGGCAGAGGTTGCGGTGAGCCAAGATCGCGCCATTGCACTCCAGCCTAGGTAAAAAGAGCGAAACTCCATCTCAAAAAAAAAAAAAAAAATACTGGTAGTTACCTGCAGCAGATCTGTTACTTTGTTTGTTTTTGTTTGTTTGTTTGCTTGTTTTTGTCTATCCCGCATTCCCTACCACCCCTCCCTTCCCCATTTCTAACAGAAATCCAGTTTTGTTCAAATATTCAGCCTCTTCTAAGCGGCCACTGCTTCAGAAAGGATTCACTCATCTTCAACCCCAGGGATGAGTCTTGATTTATTCAAGTCACACAGACAGCTCCCTTTGTCCACACAATCCAGATGGCTCCATTTGTCCACATCATCCACGTGGCTCCATTTGTCTAAGCCTTCCAAGTGGCTCCATTTGTTCACACCATCTAGGTGGCTCCATTTGTTCACACTATCCAGGTGGCTCCATTTGTTTATGCCCTCTAGGTGGCTTTCCAGGGATTGGATTAGGCATAAGCAGCTGGGTAAATTATTAGCAAAAGAAGCAAAGGGATGGAAACCACCCAGATGTCCATCCACCAAAAAATGGATAAGCAGAATGTGGTATATCCACACAATGGAATATTATTCAGGAATAAAAAAGAATGAGGCACTGATTCACAGTACAATGTTGATAAGCTCCAAAGAGTATGCTAAGTGAAAAAAGCCAAACACAAAATGCCACATATTATATGAGTCATTTAAACAAACTGTTCAGAATAGGTTAATCCATATAGGCAGAAAGTGGATTAATAGTTGCCAGGGACTGGGGAGAGAAGGGAGCAAGGAATGATTATTAATGGACAAAGGGTTCTTTTGGGGCAGTGAAAATGTTCTAAAATTTATTGTGGTGATGGCCATACAATTACCATTGAATTATAGACTTTAAATAGGTGACTTAAATAATGTGTAAATTGTTTAATGAAGCTGTAATTTTTTTGTTTTGAAATGGAGTCTTGCTCTATTGCCCAGGCTGGAGTGTAATGGCATGATCTCAGCTCACTGCAACCTCTGCCTCCTGGGTTGAAGCGATTCTTCTGCCTTGGCCTCTTGAGTAGCTGGGACTACAGATGTATGCCACCACACCCAGCTAAGTTTTTGTATTCTTTTTTTTAGTAGAGAAGGGGTTTTGCCGTGTTGGCCAAGATGGTCTCGATCTCCTGACCTCTTGATCTGCTTGCCTCAGCCTTCTACAATGCTGGGATTACAGGTGTGAGCCACTGCGCCCAGCCAGTAATTGTGTTGTTGTTGTTGTTGTTTAAGGAGCAAAGGGAAGACTGCTAAGGAGACTTCCCAGAAAGGCTCTGTCACTCTTAAACAGAAACAACAGAGTTTGATCCTTTTCCTCTAGAGGCTGAATACAGCCTCTAACTACGACCACTAGAGCTATCAGAGAGGTCTGTGAGAGGAGCCAAACAGACACCAAAACTGATACACACCGCAAGGCAGAGCTAAGAAAAGCCCCTCAACTTCTCTAAAATACATTTCTTTATTTTAGGCACTTGAACTGGGATATTCTGTCATATATTACAGGTATTCTAACAGATACAGTTCTATTAACAGAAACTGTTAGGTCAGAAGAAGGTCTGTATTTTCAGAGACTATGAATTTATGTCCATTTACAAGTGTAAGTATAATGTAAGTGAAATTTAGAGGTGGAATTCTAGATCTGATTAAGGGTATGGATGAGTGGATTGATTGATTGATTGATTGACTGACTGAGGAATTACATGCCCAGAGGTGAAGGCTGAAGCCCAAGAGAGAGCACAGAGAGGATGCAAAGGAAAGTCTGAGCTCCCTGGACTCCCTACATTGAGTAGGAGGAAGGGGAAGATAAATCAGTGAAAGAAACTTAGAAAAAGTCCATATGAAAGGATGTGGGAAAGATTGAAATGCTACATGTGCTGCCATGTAAACCAAAAAGTGAATTCAGGAAGAAGGGAGATAAAGTTTGGATCAAATTCTACCATAAGGATCAAGGCACAATAATGTAGTTAGATAGACGAAGTGATCATTGTAAGAAAAAGGTAAGACAAAAAACAAAGGTAGTTTAGTGGCGTGATGATGGCAAAAGCCAGATTTGAGAAGATGTGAGTTGGAAGACAGTGAGTGGACACTGAGGAAGCAGTGGCACTTCCTTCTGAAAGTTGTAGCTATGGGAAACATTACTGTATTCACCAATATCTGGTTCTACTCTCATTCCAGGCACACAGAAGATGGTAATTCCCAGTGTCCTTGCACTTGTGGAAGAGTAATGTGGCAGTTCTTCAAAGAAATGTGAAGTAGGTTCTTTCTGGACTGAGGCAGGGAAAAGCCTGTGCCAGATTCACCTGACTCAATCGCTCTCTCCCTGCCCCAGTAGTCATCAGGGAGGCCTTGTGCAGAAAAAACAAAACCAAAAGATTTTAAACCCATGATTGCTGAATGACTGAATACAGCATAAGTCTCTTGAGAAGAATCACCCAGTCTTCTGTGGCCATTACATGTACAAGAAATAAACTTGTTTATGCCACTAGGAAAGCAGCAAAAGAGAACAGCAAAGTTGAGGAAAAGAGAGTTTTGTTTTTGTTTTTGATTTTTTACATATCTATGGTAAGTAAGATCAAACCATGTTTGTTAGGAAAATGGAAAAAGAGAAATAATCTGAAGATGACAAAGCAGTGGTCTAAAGAAATTAGAAAGTATGCAACACACAAGCCAAGGGGTCAGTCTCTGCCCTTCTTCTTCCAAGAGAGAAGTAAGAATCCAGACCCAGAATGAACACCCAGCAGTTTTAGTTGGAGAGGGAAGTTGAGGAAGCCCACCCTCATTAGTTCATGTACTAGGCTTCTGAGACAAGCAAGGAAAGGCTGGAATTTGGAATCTTTGGAGTGGAGCAATTTCAAGGGATGATGAGCGTCTATGACTGAAATAACTATGCATGCAATGATCGCCTCTGCATATCAGCCTCCTGGCAGCTGTCCATGTAGGATGACTGGCAAGGACTGATATAAACTGCATTTCATTCTCTTGGTTTAAATTCTGTGGACAACAGAATTATCATTATTTAAAAAGTAAAGTCTTACACAGAAAGGGTTAAAACTCTTCTTTTCCCAAGTTCTAGCCCCCCACCCCCACTATTTCCCCAGCCTTTTAACTAAATTAGCTATTCCACTGACAGGCCAGCACTGGTCCCCTCACAGAACACATGCTGTGCTCTCTCTGTGAGTGCACTCCTGGTGAACTTTGAGCCACACATCTGCTGCAGAGAAGAAACTCTTATTCCCAAAGGGCTGACATTAGCTGAGGATGCTGGGTTCATCTCTACCATAGCACACTGTTATTAGATAAGCTGCTGGAGAATCAGAGGAGTAAATTTAGTTATTATGTCTTTATCTCATTACAGTGCATTCCCGACTATTGTTCATTTCATCAGCTTGATATTACTCTAAGACTCTGTTTCTACAGAGTAAATGCTTGGATTAAAAACCAGTATCTACTCTCCCTTACCCCTAAGCCATTGCTATATTTAGGGTAAGGATGTATTTTCACCATGTCACTTCTCCAAGACTCTTTCTTTGATTTAAAGCATGAATCAGCAAACATGTTCTATAAAGGGCCAGATAGTAAATATTTTAGGCTTTGCGGGCAACATGACCTCTCTTGCAATTACTCAACTATGCTGTTGTAGCCTGAAAACAGCCATAGATAATACCTAAATGAATGAGCATGGTTGTGTTCTATTAAAACATTATTTACAAAACCAGGCAGTGGGTTGGATTTTGCCCATGGGCTATTCTTTGGCAACCCTGGTGTAAAGTATGGATTAGCAAGAAAGCTTCAGGTGAACAGATTTTTTTTTTTTTTTTTTTTTTTTTTTTTTTTGAGATGGAGTTTTGCTCTTGTTACCCAGGCTGGAGTGCAATGGCGCGATCTCGGCTCACCGCAACCTCCGCCTCCTGGGTTCAGGCAATTCTCCTGCCTCAGCCTCCTGAGCAGCTGGGATTACAGGCACACGCCACCGTGCCCAGCTAATTTTTTGTATTTTTAGTAGAGACGGGGTTTCACCATGTTGACCAGGATGGTCTCAATCTCTTGGCCTCATGATCCACCCGCCTCAGCCTCCCAAAGTGCTGGGATTACAGGCGTGAGCCACCACGCCCGGCCAGATTTTTAAAGTATCTTTTCACATGCCGTGTTCATCTCTTAGAAGGAAAAAAAAATAAAACGTTTTGTTGGACTTTTTTTTTTTTTTACCTTCTGCAGACAACGGTGTGGCATTTTCCCTCTTTTAATATTTTGTATCTTAAGTTTTTAGATTCCTCCTCCCCCAGAAAAAAAAAAAAAAAAAGTAAAGAGAGAAGAATTTGAATTCAGAGAAGAGAGGGTTAAATGGTTAAAAAATTAAGAGGGTGAAAGTATCACTTATCTGCAAACACAGCCTCTTCTTTAGAAACTGATTTACCCAGACATTGAATTGATTATAAGATATGTAGAGTAAAAACAAATTTGCTGACCTTCATTTCAGAGAGCAAAGGTTAAATTCATACCCTGTAGGATGGTGCTGTTAAATTGCTCCCAAGATGCCTGGTGACATATTTTCAAAAAGTATTTCTCTCCAACTTTATCAAGTGTTCTTTGTGTTCTGGAAACATGATTTTGAGTCCCAGCTGGAGCTGGGACCTCATGAATCTTAGATAGCTGAAATTCTTCTCCAACTATATCCAGAGGCATATTGTTAGTTGGGATAGACATTAATTGCAGGGGTTAATATCTCTGAGTCTAGTTGTTTATTGAAGACTGAAATTAACATTTTAAGCTAGATAACCAAGGGTTGCACAAACTGCATAGATAAAGGGCTAAAATTGCCCATTTTGATGTCCTTGACATTGGGCTGAATAAATATGTCTTGGATTGTAATGTCTGGCAATGACTTTGTGTTCCCAATTTCTTTGCCTTTAAGCAATGCCTCAGAGGAGAACCTCAACAGTTCAAAAGTTAGGAAACCTGTACACAAAAAAATTAATTCAACACAATAACATTTTTTAAATATTAAGCAAATTTTCTATCTCTTTCATTGTAAACTAATACAAAATATTCCAGTCGTAATAGTTCACAAAACTCTTCACAAAGAAATTTTCCTAGTCTTTAGTGAGATGAAAAAAATAGGACACTAATGTAAATATTTTATGTAGCTAAGTGTATTTCATTTAAAGAACCATCCTTTAGTCTAAATTATGCCTGTCTATTTTTATGTTAAATACCTGAATTTCATTACTTTTAAATAACTAGTTACTTAGTAAAATAATACATTAGTAACCCTATATTGGTCCCTACTTTTATTTTATTATTATTATTTGTATAAAGTCAGGGTCTTTCTCTGTTGCCCAGGCTGGAGAGCTGTGGTTCAGTAATAGCTCACTGCACCCTTAAACTCCTGGGTCCAAGCAATCCCTGTGCCTCAGCCTCCCCAGAAGCTAGGAGTACAGGTGCCTGCCACCACATCTGACTAATTTTTAACTTTTCTGTAGATATGAGGTCTCGCTATGTTGCCCAGGCTGGTCTCAAACTTCTGGACTCAAGCAAGCCTGCCATCTTGGCTTCCAAAAAATGCTGGTAAGCTACCACACCCAGCTCCCAGTTGTTTTAAACCACAATTATGCCATTTAATGAAAAGGGAATTGAGAAGAGGAAAGGGTGTTATTAAAAGTTTAATTTCTTCCATTTGCTGGCTTAACAGGCAGTAACAAATCTGGATTTTTTTTCTTACAAAGTTCAAATGGTATGTCATTGCTGACCCCTTAGAATCTGAAGTATAAAACTGAATAACTTTCTGCCTTTTGGCAGCCGTATGTATACACGCATGAAGAAGTCTAATCACTGAGATGACAGGAGGCAGATATCAGTACACCTTATTTAGTGGGTGTAGAAATTGAGCATTGTTTTTTCTAACTGTGAGAGAAATGAAAATTAAATCCAAATATCCTCACAGATACCATTTCATTGATACACCACATACTTCCTATTGTAGCCTAAAGCCAATCAATGGCAACTTAGTCATTGGATTTTCTAGTAAGATACCTAAGGTCACCTTCCTTGGATATCTTCTTTGTCCTCACCAAGACTTGGCTTCTTAATCTATAAAAGGTGAGAATAAAATGTCCAATTTCATGGGAGTGGTTGGGGCCTTAAATGAGATAATGTGTATAATACCCTACCTACTGGCATAAAATAAGTGCTCAGTAAATGTTTGGTGTTATCATTTGAATTACATGCATATTCCATATGACCTTAACATAAACAGAAAAGGTTGCATGTAACCTAGGGTAATAAAGAGATCCCTATTAACCTTAATTAAGAATGTTTACCTGACCATGGGAATGAGCTACCAACCTATTATTTCAGCTAGAGAAAGTTATATGATACCAATCAAAGCTCCTTTGGATATAAGGAACAAAAACCTACTCAAAGTAGCCCCAGAAAGAAGGAGGGTTATTTCATCAACAATTTATCTAACAGACAGAGTGCCCACTCTCTGCCAAGACATAGCAGCATCTTGTAGCAAAGAAGTCCCCCCAGACCTCATGGACCAGAGCTGAAATCTGGGCTTTGGAAACCATTCCTTCTAGTTTTCTAGACCTTCATGGGCTTTCTCATGTCTTCTCATGCCTTCATTACGCTTTGCTATGATATGAATGTGTCCTCCAAACTTCGTGCTGAAACTTAATGACCAATGTGATCGTGTTAAAAAGTGAGGGCTTTAGGAGGTGGTTAAGATGAAAAGGAAGCTGCCTTGCCCTTCTGCCATGTGAGAACTCTGCATGAAGACACCATCTATGAAGCAGAGAGCCCTCACCAGACACCGAATCTATTGCCACCTTGATCTTGGACTTCCTGGCCTCTAAAACTGTGAGTAATACATGTCTATTATTTATAAATTACCCAGTTTAAGGTATTTTGTTACAGCAGCCTGAACAGACTATGACTCCCTTTATGCATCAACTCCATTTTTCTCTTTTTCTCTCCTTACCTTTTTTTCAGTCTGAGTGCTCATTTTGGGCATGGTCCAATATTTGCTAATTTAGCCTCAATCTCCAGTTTCTCCTCACTCAAGTATTTATACCAACTGAAATCTCTGTGATTTAAAACTTTTAAAAGAGGGGACCTAATTGGCTTTACCAGCCTATGGCTGTCCTTGGGGCCAGATGATCTTATTCAGCTGAAGCCATAGCAAGAGGAGAGTCAGGGCTCTCAAGTGTGCAAACATGATAACCCAGGTTCACACATTTCAGGCATGGTGGAGGTGCAACTGTGAGAAATGGGCCTACTGTATGCTCCAGTCTCCAGGAGAATTGGAGGACAAAGTGGTGATGGTCCCTCACAAGTCTATGTCTCTACAGTGAAGAAGAAAACTAAGAGTCATATCTCCATAGAAAGTACACATTCCTGTATTTCATTTAAAGGGCAACATGTGAAGTCCTGGTTTTACATTATGTCCAAGTCTTTTGAGAAACACATCCAACAGTGGTTTGTGCCTATTTCATACTCGTTTTGTTTTATTTGGCAGCAAAATGAAGATCGTGTTTCGAATAAAAGCCCAGTGCTGTCCTTTATAAGTTTCATTAAGCATTATATGCTATTCCTGTCCTCTTTTTCAGCCATGCCCAGGCATGCTTCTCAGACTCCTTTTGTGGGAATATTTTTGCTTATTTTTACATTATGGTTTCTCATAGTCAAAAAATAAATTTAACATTTGACATAGGGTTGGAGGATTTGGGGAAAATAAAAGTCCCTTATCAACTCATTGTTTATATCAATGAACTAATCAAATTGCTTTTTCGTGATACTGTTTAGAAAAAAGTACTGGGAAACCTGAAACTGAAATGTGTTCCAGAGAGGACAGGAGAGAAGGAGGATGTGGGAGACTATGGAGCTGAAAGTCTCAGCCCGGGCTCTGCCCTCACAAGCTGTGTATCCTTAGGCAAGTTATATAACCTTTCTGGGCCTTAGCTTTGCCTCAATAATCATATAGGGGTGATACTGCCTTGAGCTTGAGATCACAAGTTTGTTTGAGGACACAGTGAAATAAAAATGTGCTCTCACAAAAGTATTTTCATGATTTGAGAATATGCTTCCAAAAGTGGAAGATGCTAGTTAAAAGAATAAAAATCCCTCCTAAGGCCAGGAAGCTGACTACAGCTGCCTCCTATGCTGTGTGACTCCCTTGAATTGATTTCTGGTGGCCTCAGCAGCAGATGAATCCAAACCCTTTGTACTAACTCTGCCCTGTTCAGTTCCCCACAGTCTTGTGGGCAGATCCTGTCATATTTATTTTCCTGCTGTTTCTTAGATCAGTCTCTCCAAAGGTAGATACTCACCTCTCCTGGTGATTTGAAAACTAAATCAGTCAACACACACTAGTAACTCTTGTTCATCAGGCATTGTGCTAGGCTGTGATTTTATAATAATAAAAAAATCAGCAATATTCCAGGAGGTCTTTTAGGCATTTACATCAATGTTGTCATCTGATGTGCATGACAGACCCCTGAAGTATGTTATTATTGTTTTCCTCGCGTTCTATGAATTAAAAATTGAGGCAGAGAAAGTAACTTGTCAAGGGGTAAACAGCCCATTAGTTGTCAGACCAGGCTGTGAATTCAAATGATAACTGGAACTTCCTCCCTGACTCCAAGGAGGTTATAATCCACCAGGCGGTTTGTATATCACATCTTACTAGCCATAACACAGAACAACATGTCCCAGCCTAGTGCTGTGGGATGAGGGAACTCAGATGTGGGTTGGATTATTTCTGCCTGTTTCTATTAGGACAGCTTCAAATATGGGTTGAACCTTAGGACGAGCCAAGCTGAACAGACCTCCCTTGTCACAATCCACTTGGATCTACCCACTAGACATAATTCCTGCCATAGTTTTCAGTGGCCACATAAGCTTACATATCAGTGAATTGTAGGCATATAAAAATAATAATTTTTTTAAACCCTCAACTGAGTAGTAAAATACTTAGAGCTTAGTGACAGTACAAACTATCTATCACCCGACTTTTCATCCAGCATGTACTCACCTCAGGCAGCTCATAAAAGCTGAGACACTGGAGATCATCTAGTCCAATTATAGCAAATAGATTTCATTTCATGTGTCTACTCCAATTCAGTGAGAGTGGCTGCTGGAACACTGGGTTTAGATGGATGCTGAGGCTGTCAGAGATCAAAGGAAAAAAAAAAGTGCCACAATTGATTAGTAATGTCTGATGTGGGCTCAGGAGTGGAGAATGATGACACATGTGCAACACATGCACCAGACTCAATCTGATCCAACTTGCTTGTTTTACAGAAGGAAAAACAGCACTCCAAAATGGAAGATTGTGTGCCCAAAATCGCTTTGCAGGTTAGTAGCAGAGTTACTTGATTCCCGGTGCTCTTTCTATAACACCTCAACTCCTGTCAAATAATAACTGATGCTCACAGGATCAGCAGCAAAACCAGCAAGAAAATTACATTATGCTTAGTACAGAATTTGTGTTAAGTGTATTTGATTCTGATTCCTTGAAAGCTGCTGATCCATGTAATGTAACTCCACTCATCAGAATATCTGATCATTCAGAGCATTCCCTGACTCGGCTGCATAATGGGAAATAACCATCCCCCAGGCAAATAGCAATTTATTCTGGGAAAAAGAAAAGCCAACGGTTCAAGGTCTACATTCATTTTCAAAAAGGCCACTGACAAACATTTATATAAGTGGTTCTGCTGACCAGTTTGACCTAAGCTTGTCAGTAAAACCTGACAAAATGAAAGGCATTTGAAGGAATGATGGCTTTCTAAATAGCAAGCTTAGCTGGCTAAACCTTGGTGGCCAGATTTCTTCATCTCTAAACATTCTTGAAGTATGAGCTCATCAAGAAGTGAGCCCTGAGGGACAAGTGGGACTGTAAAGGTAGAGAGGAAGAAAGGAGGGCATACCAAGTAGGGGGGTACATATACAAAGTGTGCTGGTCTGAAGGAGTGGAGCCCTTTGATGGGAGCAGATGGTCTTGGGAGCAACTGAGAAGCAAATGCACCAGACTGGAAAGACCCTGGATTTAGCACTTACACCTCCAATTCAATCCGGACTCTATCACTTGCTAGCTGCAGAATCCTAACACAGAGGTTTCCTTGCAACCTCTCTGGTCCTCGGTTTCCTCGTCATAAAAAAGAGACAATAACACATATCTTTCAGGATGTTGTCAAAATTGAATGAGATGATTATGTCAAACACCCATACATGACACCTGGCATTTAGTAGGTGCTCAACACGTGGTCAGATCTGGTAATGAATAAACATCGTGGCTTAGTATATTTGGTGGCAAAAACAATGCTAGGGCAGGAGTGAGAATCCCTGAGTTCTGGTTCCAGCTCTGTTACAAATCCACTGAGTCCTTGACTCTATGCCTTGCACATGGCCAGTCTTAAATAAATATTTACAGAATAAATAAATGAATGAATAAGAAAATCCAAGAAAGATTTTATGTAAACTTGTTGGGCTCCAGTTTTCTCATCTATCAAAGGAAGATCAGCTTCTCAGATCCCAGTTAACAATATTCTTTTGATATCTGTATTTCATGCAGCTGAAAGCATCTGCTATGATTTGAGCACTATGTTAGGCATGAGACCAAAGTGCCAGGGATGATCATAGAATGCAGCCCTAACCCCAGCAGTCCCTTAGCTAAATGATACCTGAAGTCTTGATCTTGCCCACCCCAAAATCCTAAAATGCTTTGCTCCTTCTTATAGCTGACTCCAAGCAAAGGAAAGCAGATTGTAAAAGCAAAAGATATAGCCATGGGTGGAAGTGAGGCCTGGGGATGTGTATCTGCCACAACTCATTCATACGAACTACTGGCACCAGCACTGTCCTCTTTCTGGATTTTGAGCCTCCTCAACTGTGAATCAGGAATTTCCAATTAGAGGGCTTATGCTTCTCAGTTACCAAGAAAGTCAGAATGCCCTGTCCACCCTTGGCCCTTCCCTGCAGATGGGCACCAGCCTGTTCAGTGAAAAGGGAGTTGCAAGGAAGGTATGCTGAGCCATCAGGGCACCAGCTCAGCTCAGGGACGGTCACACTTTTCTTGGCTTCCCATTCCCCAGAGGAGATTCCCCTGAAGGGTGAGCTCAGATCCCAGAAGGGGGCAAAGGAGCTCAGGAGCAGGAAGACAGTAACAGTCATATGAGGAGAGTTTAAAAGGAAATAGCTCAAGCTGGAAGTAATTGATGTGTCTTTAATGCTTTAAATATGCCTGCTATTGTTTATTTTTTTAATCTCAACAAGTCACAGACACTGAATGGTAAATCAGATTACTGTTCCTCCCTTTTGGTACTCCCCCTTAAGTGGAGTTTTTATATGGCTTTTAAAGATAAAACTTCAGAAGGCCCTAGGTCTGTGCCCAGGAGTCAGGGAAAGCAACCATTTGACTGAGGGAGGGAAGTAGCAAAGACTGGCTGATGTGCCTTTCCTGAAAATGAAGTAGGAACCAGCAAGTAGAATGAGACAGAAACCAACAGTTAAGTTTGCTGGGAGTTGATAAAAGCAAGAAGTCACAGGACCAGAGAAGTCAGGGGAGCTGTTTCTAATTCACATGCATGTTAATAGGAAATCACTATAGGTTTCTAAGCAGAGTAGGAACGTTAGGAAAACTCTGTTGATGAAAGATATGTCTAGTACCTCTTTTTGCTGCAGATTAGAATAAATAGTAGGAAGGGCATGTTGACCTACTAAATAGATCATATTTAGACTTGGAAATAGCAGTGATGAGGGCAGGTTGTGATTTCTCTAACCTGTGATTTACTCAAGTAACAAAGATGTTTTTAGTGCTATGCAATATCATTTAGTTATGTAACCATTTACTCAGAAAATAATTATTAAATATCTACTGTGAGTTCATCCATCTTGGAGATACAAAAGAGGAAGAAATTCATGGTCTCATCAGCAAACGTGTATAAAAATGTGCTAAAAAGAAAAACACAAAATAGGATACAATTAATTACCCAAGGAGTAATGCAAATACTGGATAATATAAACAATCTGTCGAAGAATTTCTTGTGATCTGGGACTGTCTGGATAGGGCAGGTAAATGGCAGGTAGGGACAGGTGGTTGAGGCAAAGAAGCATTCCAGGCTGTGGGAAGAGTTTGGCAAAGATTTGGAGGGAAGCATGAGGAGAGTGTTGAAGGCTGTTGGGGATGGGCCCTGTATGAGATGAAAGTATTCAAATGCTCTCTTGGAAACAAAGAGGAAGGCTTCCTGACCTTTGAGACAGAGCGCACCACTTTAAATGGTGACTTAAGATGAAGAATCTGGCCACCATGTTTGGGGTGAGTTGGAGGCAGGAGAATTGAGGTAGGAGAGGTCAGCTGAGGGCTGCACTGGCGATCCAGAGGTGAAAAAATAGGCCTGGGAGGCTGGGTCAGGCATAGCTTATCCTAACAGTGGGTATCCATTGGCCCTTTCAAATATTCCAGGGCCTAGCCAGCTGTCCAAGCTGTCCAAAGAACAAACTGGACACCAGTGCTCCAAAGCCCTGCTCATGCCAGGAAATGAACATTTCTGGTGCCTAGGAGGAGCCTGGAGAATGGAACATAATACCAGGAAAGTGTGCTTCCCATCTGCAGCCCACATCCCCGGCAGCCCGCCCACCATTGTAGAAAAGGGGGATTAATAAGATCCAGACCGTCTAAAACCTAGCCTTATATTATTCATTTCTCTTGGAAATGTCTAAGGTTCTGTGATTCCTCTCTAGTCCCAATGCCATACTTAGCTTATAATTTAACAGGCACAGGGCTGTTGCTTGGGCCAGCATCTG